GAAAGGACCTTTGAAGCTAAGATCACATCCAGTGAAAGGACCTTTGAAGCTAATATCACATCCAGTGAAAGGACCTTTGAAGCTAAGATCACATCTAGTGAAAGGACCTTTGAAGCTAAGATCACATCCACTGAAAGGACCTTTGAAGCTAAGATCACATCCACTGAAAGGACCTTTGAAGCTAAGGTCATGTACATCCAGTGAATGGACGACCTTTGAAGTTAAGTGGTCACATCCAGTGAACGGATGAAGCTAAGATCATATCCAGCGAAAGGACCTTTGAAGCTAAGATCACATCCAGTGAAAGGACCTTGTTTTGCATAATTTTGGAACTATCAACTTAAAAGGAAACTTAAAGAAACAAATTATCAAAAAAATATGAAAAATTAATGTAATCTTAGTATCCATAGCAACGGTTTCCGCTGAACATAATTGAGCCAGGAAGGTTCCCCGCACTGGATTGTGGGATAGCACCACGCTCTCCTTCGCCGCCATGTTGCTTTGCATCCGCTAAAACTCTAGAATGTGATAAAACAGGCCTGAAAACCTCGATTTCATTTAACTAATTTAAAATGGTTGACATGGAAGCTGTGAGGCAGTTCAATAGCGAGGTAACTGGGGTATTCTTTGATTTCTTTATTACTTTAGAGCTTTTTTCCCTTGACTTTTTAGCGACCAACGTCTAAACAAAGTCCGGCATAGTCTTGAATTTGATTTCACGCTTTTCTCTCAACAGCTGTCAACAATTTACGAAACTAAACCACCGATCTCCAAAGGAAAAGTTGCTTCTATTACTCGACTAGCAGTTAAGGCCATCAAGGTATTCCTAGGCTTTATTCCTCGCGTAATATCTTGCTAATCCATTTTCAACCTCACTAACACGTGCAAAATTATGCATTGACCGTTCTCCACAAGGACGACCATAATTTATAAAATAATTATTTTTTCGATTTCAATTATAGTACTACAAACATGTGGTGCAAAGCGTGGAAAAATTCACTCAAAAGGTAAATAGTGCTCGATGCAAAGCTATACATATTTTTTTATAAGCTTATATCTAATTTTCCTTATGCGAATAAAATATTGCAAAATTTGTTCCAAGCTGTCACAGTATGAGGTAATGGCTTCATCCTATGCTTTAATAGTTGATAACTTAGAATAAGAAAGTTCTTTTAAGCATGACAGTTAGCTCAGGTAAATCTTTTATAACCCTATTTATGAGTTCTATGTATTAAAAGACAGTTTTGTTTTCACTTTTCTACCTTGAGTCAGCTCTGTTTATCGTGTTTGTGGGAGGGGAAGGAAGTTGAATCCAAATTTGGCTTGTTAAAGCTTTACATTAAAACCTATATAAAGTGTTTGACCTCTATTTAGAGGCCAGATGTCAACTAAAAAGTATCAAAGTGGGTTTCCATGCTACTTTTGTTTGCATCTAGATGCCAACACTAGACATCACAAAGTATGTTTAACAACTAAAAACATTAGTTTTGTTGATTTCAAAAGTTGGTCTTGCTTTCAGAGACCACCTTTGAAATCGACAAATGTTAAAATTTTTTAGTTGACAAACATACGAGTTTAAGGAGCTGGTTAAAACATGTTTTCAATCAGCACATACTAATAGAAGTAAGAGATCCTCCTCCATTTAGCAGCAAGTTGTCAATTCCCCAAAGTTGGCTTCATTTTTGAATCAAGATTTGTCAGATTTGATATTGATGGTGACAATGATGACTTACCATCGCTTTCACCTAAGCGGAAACACTTCTAAAGAAAACCGCCACTAATTGGGGGTGGCAAGTTAACTTTTGGCGCCTCAAACTTTGACGTTTGGCGCTTCAAACTCTTCGTATATTTCTCGATATCGTGGGGTTAGACAGTCCTCCACAGTCAGCAAAATCAATAAATTGTTCTTTAATTTCCTGAATAGAAGTTAATCCCTTGGTCTAAACAATAGTTTCCAATAATCTTTATCGTCAAATGATAATTTACTTGGTAATGGCCTACGTCGCCTGTTTCTCGATATTTTTAACCACTTTGAAACTGTGGAAGGCCGAACTTGCAATTGCATACTATAAACTTCTCGTATTGGTCTTTTCCACCACTTCATACCTAAACCATCTAGGTAGTGCTGCATCTGAATGAAAATTGCGACCATAAATGTTTGTATGAATCATAATTATTCGGAATTTCGCGCAAACTTTTAACGTTTCACTCTGGGACACTGGTAATGTTTCCATGTGAAAACATCAAAGTTTGAGGAGCCAAACTTCAAACTTTGGTCATCAAAAGTTAACGTACTGCCCCCAATTAGTGGCGGTTTTCGTCAGAAGTGTTTCCGCTTAGGTGAAAGCGACGGTAATTTTTTAATGTCATATCTTAACTACATTTATTGACACCCTGAAAAAGGATGCTGGTCCAATCTACACTGCAGAACTAGCTGCCTGCATGGCTGACCATGAGAATTGGGGGTCCAGGAATGCAAGTTGGCTGAGGCTGCCATGATGATGATGATGTTGATGCATATCTCTTGAATGGGAACTCTTGAATTTATTAAATGTCTTTTCTTTCAGTGTCGACAAGAATATAAAGTCCCTGCATTGTACATTATAGACTCAATCATTCGTCAATCAAGACACCAGGTAATTGACTTTAATTAAATGAATAATTAAATAATAGCTTTATTGATTGCAGGTTATTTATTTACCTATTAAGTAATTGAATTAGGGTAACTCTTCGTAGACATTCAACAGTAACAATATTTTATATTCCTTTTGGCATTCTTTCTTGGTTATAGATTGTTCCTGAATTTGCTTGAGTGACCCCAAAACAATGGCTCCACTTGAGTTTTGACTTGATGTGTATTTTATCAAGTCTAAACTTGACTTGAAGCTATTGTTTTGTGGTCACTGAAGCGAATTCAGATAGTCCTAATATTCATATACCTGACTATGAACCTTGTCAGATTTACCTTGAGTGCGAGGCTTACTTGAAATACAAAACAAATCACACTTTTTCTCCATGGAATTTGTGGCATTTCTTTTGTATTTCCATCTTTGCCTTATATTCAAGATAATTTTGATGAGGGTCAATAACTCTTTCAAGGGTTCCAAAATCCATTTAACCCCACCTTACTACCTTTGTTTTGCCTAATTTTTCAGCTTGGGTGCAATGTTTTCCCATTTCAGACCATGTGCCGTTCCCCTGAGGATAAGATGTTTTGTCTGAGTTGTATCCACATTCATGTGTCTTCTCATGCATGACCGTTGAACAAAGAAATGATACTCTAGGGAATAACACATTGTCTGTAATGGGAAAACATTATACCCAAGCCAAAAGGTCTATTAACTTTAACTAAAGCATATGCTAATTTTATTCTTCATAGTTTGGCGCAGACAAAGATGTATTTGGGCCAAGGTTTGCAAAGTCAATAACTTTAACATTCCAGCATTTGTATAAATGTCCTCCAGAAGATCAGGTAAATAACTGTACTGACGAATTTCAAAATGGGGCTTCTTTTAACATATTTAGGTCCTAAGTTCTACCCCCATGGATTCCTTAAACTAAAAGATAGATACAACATGATATTGTAGGATTATATATTTTTAGTAATGGAATAGTCTTGTTTTTGTGCTGTAAGTAAGAAACTGAAAGAAGATAGAAGAATATAGAACAGTGCCGTGGTGAGGTTGGAGGGGGGATGGGGGGTAATTGTCCCTCAAAAGTTTGCTTTCAGCACCAAAATGTAATTAATTCATGTGGGATTCCTGTGAATTTGGTGAGAAAATGGTACTTCCCCCCCCCCACATTTATCAAGACCTCGCTAAGCCCCTATTACAGAATATAAACCAAACTCAAGATTTTGACCCTCTAACTTTTGATAGCGAGAAAAACTCAAATAAAGTACTCTTTTTTATATATTTACAGTGTAGAATAGTGAAGGTTTTAAACCTATGGCAGAGAAGTGGGGTGTATCCCCCTGAGGTGGTACAACCATTACTAAACATGGCACAGCAACAACAGAATGAAGGTATGTAAATAAACACAATAGAGATAGAGCAGCTTTCTAATGACTGTAAAAAGCTCAGTGCCGTAAGCGTGATGTGCCGTGACCGTGATGCTTTCTAGAATTTTAATTGGCTGATTTTTTTCACATGCAATGTGATTGGTCTGGCGTTGCCATGACCTTGGCGTGACCATGTCCAAGCCGTGTTCACACCATGTTCCGGATACTTGATTGGATGGAGAGTAAATTCTCATACAATATGATTGGTCTGGTGTATCCCTTGCTGTGTCACGACCGTGTTCGTGTCCTGAACTTTTCACAGTCATACGAAAACAGCTCTACAATAGAGACAATGAGATCCATTCAGAACAAAAAAATCCCACCTGACACTTGCACAAATCTTGAGCCGCGGAATGCAATACTAGAATAAACAGTCAACATTACCTGACCCTGAAGAGGACTAACRATGTACGGTCGAAACATATATTGAAACTGACAATAATTGCAGAGATTTTTCCAAAAAAATGAACGAACAAAATGCATAAATTTATAAAGGTCTGAATTTTGGGACTTTGTTGGAGTTGCTTTTTTATGGACAAATGTTCCCTTTGTCTAGACTGAAAAAGCTTTGTCAACAAGATGTTTATTAAAGATGTAAAGTAATTTTCATCAAGTAAATTATTTGGATTTTTTCCCCAAGAAAAATCAGTTTGTCAAAACAAAATTCAAATGTGTAATTCAACTGTAATATATATTAATTTTTTTCATATTTCATATTTAGGGTTTATTTTAAGTGTGTATTTATTAGCTCAATGTTATATCTTAAACTTTATTGTTATCACCTTGTAAATTTTTGTCCACATTACGCTGATTTTGTAATTTTGTATATTACCTTAGGTTGTCTATGATAATTTAGCCCTTATGGTTATTAAGACAACCTATACTGTAAAACACTTATTATTTTACTTATTAAATTAACAGCTTACTTATCATTATTATTAAACATAGTATTTACAAGGTACGAAATAAATTAGAGTTATGTCAGCGGGAGTCGTGTACTCCTGGCAGGGCCACCCATGCTGAACCGGTTAAAGGGTAGAGACCTGATGAAGAGTGATCCACTGGCCCTCCATGTTGGGGGTTTGCCTGTAGGCTCATCCCCTGCACCCGGAAAGCCCCACCGGTTATGGAAAACCAAATCATCGTTGTTGCCTCACCTGAGGACAATGTTCAAGTGCCTATGTTCTCAAGGGAGCGAACAGGACTAAGCAGCAGCTAAATAAATTATTATAATGAAAGACACTACTGCTTTTTTTTTGATATTTTTCTCTTATTCTCTATACTTCATTACACACACCGAATGCATAATTTATTACTACTATACTATGCTTTTTTATACATTTATTTTGCTAAGCTTTGGACCTACACAGTCATTTTCACAGCATATATGAGTGTGCTAATGAAGATTTCTTTGTTTATCAAGAACCATCTCAGATCACATCATCCTCGTCCTCATCAGCTTTAAACCAAGGTAACGAAAATCAGCCATCAGAAGCCATGCCTGGGAATGGGACAACAGTTTTGACTGCATTACAGCAACAACAACAGCAACATCTAGAACAAATTGAAAACCTCCGACGGCAGCTGCAGGAACAGCAGAGTATCAACCAACAACAACAACAACAGCTAATTGTGCAACAAATGACAGGCATAAGCAATCCTACGGCAATGTCAAAACCTATGACCATAGATCAGACACTACCATTTGGAAATGTACAGATCCCGCAGGGTGGAACCCAAATGCAGGCGAACATACTTCACCCTCCACATCAAGAGGTATTACAACCCTCCCAAGCTGGGGTACCACCAGAGTTGGGTGGAACACAGAACGCTGGTGATGATCAGCCAAGGTTTCAGCTGCAGCCGCATGTGTTGGCACAGATTCAGGCATTGACAGGTAAGAAAATGACATTAAGTAATGATTGGTAGACGCTGTGTATTACAGTGCTGCGCTCTGAACCGTGAACACCCAACAAAGTTTCGTACAAGTTTTTGACAAGTTTTAATCAATCCCTTTACTGCTAACCAATTATATTTTGGCACTTTACTTCAATGTTTTGATATCATTACATCTATGTACAGTGTAAAACTTCTCAAAATAGTTGTCAAGAAGATGTCTGAAAGAAATCAAAAATCTTGTTAGGTGTTCATGGTTTGGCGCGCAGCACTGTAAGCTATTGGAGGGGACAACATTTAATGTATTCGCATACTTCTGTACACAGGCTTTTTGCTGCCAAACGAGCAAACACATTAAATGCGGTCATGCAGCATCACACTGCAATTAACATCCAACATTAGGGATGTTAGTCCCTGGTTGTTTTCCAGAAAGTTCCATTTATCCCTGCAGTATTAGTAAGATGCTATCAAAGAGATTGATTGGGTAGTTATAATATTATAATAAATTTTCTATTTCAGGGATGAATATACGACTTCCTCAGGCACTTCCAAATGAGGGTGAAGTACAAGACACTCCAGCATCAAACCAACAACCGCCACCTAACCTTGGTCCAGATGCTGGTGCCACTCCTTTAGGTCAAGGTGTCCTAGATCAAGGTTCTGCTTGGGGGCATCCTTCACTGGCACCTCTTGGACGACCCCCTGAACAAACCCCTCAACAGCCTCCCCAAAAAGACCAGGTACAGAAAAAACACATTTTACAACCATCATTCCCTGTACAAGGCTTTAACATGAGGTTCCCTCAACATGCACTACCACTTCTTCTATATTAATGAATTAATAAAGCATATTGTATTGTATTTTACGACATACAACACTCAACTCACATGTTGATTTTTACGGAGGGAGTAAACTGGAGATCCCAGAGAAAACCCTTGTGCCAAGGGAGAGAACAACACATCAAATAAACTCAACTCTTATATGATCCAGGACAAGCTACAAGCTACAGCATAACTATCAATTTGCTATAGTTTCCAACTCATACAAAAGATGCTTTAGAGAATGTTCAAAGTTCTACTTATTATTAGATTTACAGCATGTAATAAGCATGGTACTTTTTCAGGCTGTAATTGATGACTTTGACTATGGAGATGAACAAGATGATGCCACAAGACTTGCCGAGCAGAGGAGACGCTTGATGGAAGAAGAAAGAAGACTTAGTCAAGAGTGAGTAGAGATATTAATTTTACTTTACTGCCCAGTGTCATTTATAGCTAACCTGTGTCTGTTAATAGAGGCTTTCAACCATCATATATAGCAGCCATGACAGGAGGCAGTAACAATTATTATTCAGTCTGGTCCCCRGCGGGGGGGGAGGTACTCCCCTATATTTGCTATACGGGTACGTGCCGCCAAAAAGGGTATGGTTTTCAGCAATTCTACTCTGGAACAGGGTATGTAAAGTCGTGCTCGCTCTGGGACAGGGTTACTATACGAAATCACGCTCTCTCCTCTCGAGAACAGGGTATCTAAGTTTCGCACTACTGGAAAAGGGTATGGTTTCCAACGATCTTTCTCTGGAACAGGGTATGAATTTCAGCGATATTGCTCTGGAACAGGGTCAGGGTTCAAAAGGCTCAGCGGCACATCCCTACCCTAAATGGGCAAGAGTACCCCCCACCCCGGGTCTGGTCTGATCTGATTTACATGAAAAATAACTCTAAAAAGGACTCTGTTGTTGTGCCTCCTAGAATTTTGCTGTTGTCTCAATAAACAATTGCTAATTAGCTTTGATTTTGTTTCAGCCAAATGAAAACAGAAAGAGGTGAGTACTTTTCCTCTCTTTTCTTCTTAGTACTATCTCGTATTGTCTTTGAACATTTTGCTGCGAAAAATCTTTAGCATCTGATAATCTTTGTTGGAGAAGATGACAACAAGAGACGGGCGGACTTAGATAGATTTTTTCTGTCAGTGCCGATAGTCTCTTTTCTGATCCATAAATTGTTCTATGATACCCTTCTCATGCAGTATTATTTTCAGCATAAAGATTGATAACTCTTAATATTAATCTACCATAGATCGACACCATCAGGATAGGTCACCTGGTCATCGACGGYGCTCACAGTCACCATACCGAAGAAATAGATCACCAAAACGGAAGTCGCGCTCACCACGGCATAGGTCTAGATCACCAAGAAGCAGAGACCGAGGGCGTGACAGRGATCGTGACCGTGAGAGGGGGCGTGACAGGGACAGAGATCGCGACAGAGGGAAAGATAGAGAACGAGATCGAGATCAAGAAGAAGTGGAAGAGGGACCCGAAAACAAGGGATTGCCTCCTGTTGAACCTAATGCTTGTAGTGGTAAGAAAAATTGAGCAATGTATTTTATAAAATAACTGTTATAAATCTCGCGTTCTGATTGGTTAGGAGTGCGTGCTTTATGAGAGCACACAGCACGCACGCGCCCTTTCAGTTGCGTCATTCCTATCCAAAAAACGGTTGTTGAAATTTGTATTTTCCCCATAGTTTGTAGTAATACTATCTGGGTTGGTCATCTAGCAAAGACGGTTCAGCAGGAACATTTACAGGAAATATTTGCAGAGTTTGGTGAAGTGACATCAATCGATGTAAGTACGAGTCAACAAGTGTTAATGGACGGTTGCCATGGTAATGGATCTTTACGACTTTATAAATATTTTGTTGTTAAATGTGATTAATCAGTTATCATAGTTAACAGGAAAAGAGTGGTGTTCAGCAGTTATGCACCATTATGAACATGCTCGTGTTTGCTTCACCTTCATGGTTGCATAAAAGCCGATTTAGATGGCATGATTTTCGCCTACAACTATGGTATACAACACGTTCGCGCCATCCTACAACTAGAGTCGTAGCGTGTAAATCAAGCCTACAACTCGCCTACAACAGACACAAGCGTGTTGTATGCAATATTTGTAGGCGAAAGTTGAACGATCTAAATCGGCCTTAAGGAATTTGCTGTTGCCAGCTTTGCTTGGATCCCTACTCTCCAATCAATATATGAATGACATTTTAATTCAGTAATGCAATGGTTTAATGTTCAGATGGTTCCCCCTCGTGGCTGTGCATACGTTCAGATGTCCAAACGAGACGATGCTAACAAGGCTGTCAGCAGGCTATCTAACTTACGCCTTCATGGTAACTTTGTTAAGGTACGTTGTCATGGTTTTCAATTTCTGTACGTATCTTCAGGTGTTAGTTGGACTTGTTAGGACTCTTCCTTTATTTGAGGGTTTTTTCCACATTCTCTAGTATTTCTACCATAATAAAGCTTATCATTACAAATAATTCTATTTGATCGGGGATTTCACCATTCCCGAGGTTCAATCTGTGAGTTAGCCATGCTGTGACTTAGATCAGGTCAAAGGTTGTTTCAGGGTTCAATCTGTGAGTTAGCAGGCCCTGACTTAGATCAGGTCAAAGGTTGTTTCAGGGTTCAATCTGTGAGTTAGCCATGCCGTGACTTAGATCAGCCCAGAGGTTGTTTCAGGGTTCTATCTGTGAGTTATCAGGCTGTGACTTAGATCAGCCCAAAGGTTGCTTCAGGGTTTGATCTGTGAGTTAGCCACATGGTCTTAACAGCTCCACCAACTTTAATTGAAAAAATCAACCTTTTCCTTGCTTTTTCTATCAAGGTGGCTAATGCGTTGCCTCTCACCAATGCAACCTGGGTTTGATTCCCAGGCACAGTGTCGTATGTGAGTAGAGTTCGTGGATTCTCTCCTGTGCATCGAGGGTTGGTTAACGAAAGATAAGAGGTTCTTTAGTTTTCTTCCCTCCACAAAAATCAACTTCTATGTTCTAATTCGACCTTTGGGCTTTCACCTAGTTTTCCCATGTTTTAATTTTTTTTAGATTAAAAAATATATAATCAATGTGTTTTAATTATTTCCACAGTTGGCTTGGGCACCTGCGAAAGGAGTGAAAGATAGAAAGTACAAAGAATACTTTAATGTCAATCTTGGGGTGACCTATATCCCATGGGAAGTGCTTGGTAGTGCTCCTGATCTATTGACTATCGCTGAAGGAGGCTGGATTGACCCAGAGAGTTTGCCAGCAGAGCTACAAAACTCCTTGAAACAAGGTATTGAGATTTCGCATTCTTATTGGTTGGGAGCGGGTGCTTTATGAGAGCACACAGCATGCATGCACCCTTGTATTTTATAAGAGAACCCCCTCCAACCTCCCTTCCACCCTCCCATGGGAAGAACTTAAGAAATATCAGAAGCTTAGCGTTTACATGACTTATGCAGCAGGAGCGGGACTGAAAACAGGGGGTATAGCATAGATATTCTTGGGGGGTGTTTATGATGGCTGAAATCCAAAACACAAGAAAACATGATGACATTTATTGGCAGTGCTGTCAATTTTTTCAACGCTGGGTTGTGGACCGACAGGAAAATAATATTTTCTTTCCTGTGATCAGAGAGACTAATTGTTTTTTGTTCTATTGTTCACAGCAGAAGCAGGGGAAACTAAAGGTGATGAAAAAATGGAAGCAAAAGAGGGGGAACAAGCAAATCAATTACCTGCTGGAGTACTCCCCCCTCAAATGCCTCCCCACCTACCTCCCCCTGGTCATCCAATGTTCCCTCCTCCAATGATGCCTCCTCATATGATGATGAGACCTCCATTTCCGGGGGGACCTCACAATCCTAACATGATGCCTCCAGACAGACCACCATGGGGAATGAACGTACCTGGTGCACCCCCACCTGGATTTGGACCAGGTGTCCCGCCACCGCAAGGCATGAGACCACCTGGAGGGGGTCAGTTTCCTCATCATCAACTTGGTGAGGGCCATCCACCCTTCCAGCCACGCCTTCCGATGGGAATGCCCCCTCAAGGGCAGGAGCCTGGTGGAATGCCCACTTTTAGACATAGGTTCCATCCAGAAGGGCCACATCCTAGAGGCCCAATGGAATTTAATAGACCACCAAGAATGGGAGAAGGGCATCCAAGGGACTTCGATGGACCCCCTCCACATAGGGGATTTAATGGTCCACCTCCAAGAGGACCTAATGGACCACCACCCCGTGGACCAGAAGGAATGATACCAAGAGGTCTAGATGGACCTGCAGGTGGAATGGATGGGCCTCAGAGGGGTAGAGATATGCCTCCACAGGGATTAGAGGGACCACATAGGGCAGCAGAAGGTCCCCATGGCATGGAAGAAGTACCCCCTAGAGGACCGGAAGGCCCACCAAATAGACAAGATGGTCATACACAAGGTGCTGAAGGACCACCRAGACTGGAAGGTCCTCACCAAGGTGCTGAAGGGCCGTCTGGGCCTCCTCAAAGGCATCAAGAAGGACCTCCAAGGGGTCCAGAAGGACCAACAACGAGGTTTGAAAAACCTCACACTGGTCTGGAAGGACCGCCCATGATATCAGACCACATGCCTGGTGGTCCCATGAGGCCACCATTTAGAGGAATGAATGGTCCACCAGGTCCTAATGGACCTCCTTCGAGGGGCCCAGAAGGATTTCCAAGAGAACCTAACTTCCGACAGGAATTCCGACCTGACTTCCGGGGAGGGCCACATGGACCCCCACCTAGACACTGGGGACCCCCCCAAGAGAGACCTCCCCACGAGAGACCTCCCCATGAGAGATCTATAGGGATGCCCCCTATGAGGATGCAACAGCCAGAATGGCTCAGAGGACCTCCTCCACCTGAACGTATCCAAGAAGAGCGAACGTCGACAGATACGAGTTTATCAAACGAACAGCTTTCTGGCCCCAAAGATGAACGACCTGACCAACGTCCAGAACAACCAGATCAACAGCCTGAGCGACCGGATAATCAGTCAGGTGATGGGCAGGATGACAATGATCGAGGGCAACGTTTTCGAAGGGATCGTGACCGAAATGAGCGCCCACCCTGGGAAAGAGAACGTGATCGTAGAAGAGATCGTGATCGTCCAAGAAGTGGAGAAAGAGAGCGTGATCGTCCAAGAAGTAGAGAGAGAGAGCGTGACAGTGATCGCGACAGAAGCCGTGATCGAGAAACAAGTCGGGATAGCGATCGTCATCGCGAAATCAGTAGGGATCGTGAACGAAATAGGAGTCGCGATCGTGAAACCAGCAGAGACCGAGATCGTGACAGACGTGATCGTGATCGTGACAGACGTGATCGTGATCGACGTGATCGTGATCGTGACCGTGGTAGGCGTGATCGAGATCGACAACGAAGTCTTAGTGATCGTGACAGTCGGAAAAGCTCCGACAGTGACAACAAATACGACCGACAAAATAAATCAGAACAATCGAAAGAGATTCCAACTACATCTGAATCAAAAGATAACCTTGTTACAGCAACTGGCCCATCAGAACAGCCCAAAGACCTTGATCAATCTAAAAACGAAACTCCTAACGCCAAAGATCCTCCCATGGAGCCTGTCATTCATAATAATAAAATCTCAGAACCTGAGGAGGGCGAGGTCATCGAAGATGAGAACAATTCGATTATCACATCCGCACATGAAAATAAACAAGTAGAGCTTCAAAACGAGGCTGTTATTGACACTAAAATCAAAATTGAAGAATTGAAAGCGGCCGTGGAAGACCCGCTAAAGACTACTGAAGATCAAAAGTCATCCATTGACATTGCGAAAAATAACACTGAAGAAATGAACACAGCTGAAATGAATATTGAAATCAAACAAGAAACAAATTCTGAACAAATCGTGACAACTTGACGTCACAGGCAGTTACCATAACGACCTGTAATTTTTTTTTTTGATAGAAAAACTGTCCAACTATGATCCCAAGCCAGGACGTTTATCCTATAGCAAGTATTGAGATTGTTTTGGGTATATTGGCAATGTAATTTATTCAATACAATTGAATTTTTTAGAAACATTTCTTATCAATCTCTCTGTCATTCATATCTCAAGAAAATGTCACGAGACTACAAGAAAGCAACTCACAACCACCGTAAAAACCTACTAAAAAGGTTCCTTTCTTGTACGTTGAAGTGTAACCTCTTTGTGCTAGGATACCGCAAGTGTTGCGTTGTTAGTAGTGAACTTTAAATTATCCCTGGTGACAATAGATATTGCTATCTTCATCATGTTGAATCGGATTGAACAGGTTTTTAAACTTATTGCTCAAAGTATTTCCAAAAGTAATCAGGGTGAGAGAGGCTGATGAAGAAGAAGAAGGCGAAGTATTTTGAAGTGCAAAGCCCAGCAGGTTGAGAATGATAATATTTTTATTTGTGCCATATTTAAGAGAAAAATTTGATTATATCAAAAACTACACATAATGGACACGGACTGACTATAACATTGAAAAGGCAAGAAAGAGGCCAAGGTTGTTGCACAACACTGTTGCAATTGGAGTTAGTGTTGCACGTATTACCACCAAGTGCAACAAATGTTCTGGTTAGAGTAAAAAAAGCTCATACTCAGGGCATCGAGCAACATTTGAAATGATGAGTTTAAACAAGCGTGATTTCCTGGAAGTAGATGCGATCAGAATGCTGCGTCTCAAGCTATGGAGCTGTTGAATGTTTTCATCCATCATATTTTAACATATCACGTGATAAGTAATTTTGTTTTGATTGATGTAAATCTAAATCCAAGTCACTAAGCAGTTGTTGAGGTTGCGAGTGCCTCAATATTACCATTTTTGAATACATAACAAAATAATACGCGTATTGGATCTATGATATATTAGCCATTCCGAGGTTGAGGGAAGACTGGATAGAGTTGACATAGTGCAATGTGGGACTGTTTTATTGGACAAAAAACTTAAGACACCATCTTGAACTTATTCCCCTCAAACAGTCCCACAATGCACTGCAATGTCAACTTGACCCAGTTTTTTCCTTGACCTCTGAATGGCTAATAAATTTAATCTGTATGTAGTAGATCCCTCATTGAGGAGATAAGATGTTGTGTTACACAGGATTGTGAAGCAGAAACAAATTTGGTGCACAGAAGAAGTGATTGCTCTATTTCCAACATGCAAAACTAGATAGTTCACAGAAATCTTGGTGTCCACAATTTTGGGTGCACCAATTTTTTTTTTTTACAAATGTGGCTGTGGATTTATGGCAAGTAAATTTTCAGACCACAAAAAAATCGTCTCAAACTTAGAAATAAAAGCTATTTTTAACAGCCCACAAATATTCRGTGTTTATGCCATTTTTCTAGGGTCTAAAGCAAAAACAAGTTATGGTATCATTTGAACGGTGAAGGGATTGCTGTAAAGTGTTTTTCTTAGCAAGTGGTTCCTGCAAATGGCTGTCATTACAGTTGAGATGGCAATGATATATTCTTTTGTTTAAGAATAATACAAGTGAGGCTATTGGGTCGATACGATGCTTGTTGTCTCATTTGCATGCATCCATGACATCTGCTATTGACTTTGATATGAGTTTCATTGATATGGTTTTCCCTTGAATATTAATAATGCTGAAATGGTTTTGTCTGAATGATCAGGCTCTAAAGGTTTTCTCATTCATTCATAGAAAATTGCCTTTCTGTAAAATTAAAATATAGCTATAAATTCATATTAGTGCTATAGAAGCAATATTTTTTAAATTTTGTGTTAAGCTGGATTAAAAACACCCTAAAGAATGATTGTCAAAGGAGTCGAAACATCTAGGGGAGGGGGGGGGATGTAGTTGTATATTTAGTAATTAAATGTTGCAATGTTAAGTCTAGTTTGTAAGCTGGACTTTCCCAATATTTCAATTTTCAGCTCATTTCTCATTGCCACATTTCCTGATCCAAGGTCGTAAAGACATGAAGCAGAGTAACTCACGAAGTGTAGCTGTAGGATCTATTGTAGAATTTTGACCTCACAGGATGAAGTTTTTTAAGGCAAAGTAAATACTGGTAATAATGGGACTGACAAAACGTTTGACAAATAAGAGGGCCACTTTGCTATTCTGGATTCTTTTCAGTGTGTGGTAATGAAATGAGAATGGGATAAGATATTCTAGTTTATGTATCGACTATCCCTCAATTGCCCTATTTTATAATGACRTCACATCAAAACAAACTATTGTTTTAACGCTATGGATCATGGTCACGGATGGAATTACAACAATACATCTTAAATCACAATGAAATTTGGTTTATCAGCTGGTGAAGGCTAAATATCTCAAAAGAAGAGAATTAAGCTTAAATTTAGCCTGAATTTCTATCATTTTAGCCGATGTAAACAAACCGTGACGTCATTATGAAATAGGGCAATCACTCTTGTCCAATAATCAGGCTAGCAAATAGCTTACGCTTCGTTTGCTGACTTGCAGTGGAATTGAAAAAACGTGGAAATATTTAAAGAATGTAATAGCCAATGGGAAGCGTTATTGTTATCTTTCTGTTATCGTGTGGTTAGAAAGTCAATTCTGACTGGCCAAAGAAGAATAGAGCATTTCTAAAATATTTCTAGGTGCCTGTGGTTTTTGATTTGCACTGCAATTCTCACAATGTTAAAAAAAAGTGCTTATAAAAGTGCATGTGCCTACTGCTTTTTGGATAGTAATAAACTGTCTTCTCATGCGCAATCATTAAACAAAAAAGCAGTAGGCACATGCACTTTTATAAGCACTTTTTTTTTAACATTGTGAGAATTGCAGTGCAAATCAAAAAACCGCAGGCACTCTAGGGAATGTCGTGGTCTGAAATGGAGCCCAAGGTATATTTAAGAGGTATTATGATTTTACACGTGAGAGAAAAGACTTCACTAATCATGGATATAAAGATGTACGTCAATGTGGTTTATTGTTCTGTTTCAATAAAAACAAAACACAACATTTAATCTCTCACAAATTTTCAAAAGTAGTGTCTAAATTGTACAAAAGATAATAATTATCATAATTGCTCATTAACACTTCTCTCATTGAATGTCAATCTACATAATGTAAGGTATCTATCTATCTCACAGTTAAAGTTTAACTATTCCTAGTRAGCTATAAAATTATCAAATTTCAGCCTCTCATCCCCCGTTTTTCAATAGGAGTGACCCCAAAATCCTTTCCAACTATGGGATTCTGTTAATCAAAAACAACAAATTTGAACCATTTTTAACGATGCCTAAAATGTGCTGTTAAGCCGGACAAGCTGTCTGGGTCAGAAAACAAAAGATTAGATTGATATTCTCATACTGAAAAGTAATAGAGTGCAAATAATTTATCCGTGAAACACTAATTACTAAATAGTACAAAATAGTGCTAATTAAACAATAGAAACCAATGGAATTTGCATGAAATTCTGCTATTTAGTATTACTAAAGTTTCACAGTTGTATTGTTTGCACTCTAGTAGACTAATAATTATTAACAATAAATTAGATCTGCAGCCTGAATGGTCTATGAGTGAATAGAGGCTTTGCACCATCATGTGACGGCAGCCACGCTGAAATTTAGTTTTTCGCTGCCTCCAGAAAAAATATGAAAGGTATTGACAGGTAGGTTTGATTGATGGAAGAGAAAAACAAAATTTCAGCGTGCAGCTCGCAGACACAGAGTTTGCATGTTTTTGAAAATTGCAGTAAAATAGCATAATGATAATGAGGAAGTATTATTTTCCTCTGGCCATATTATTTATAGAGAATAATTTGGACATTAGTTTGTTACACAGTTTACTGAAATTCTAGTCATGATGCATTGCCATAAGAAAGTCAATAGACCAGTTTCTAATTCCAAATTACAGCTGTGTTCCTTAATTGCAGACTCGTTTACTAAGGGTTAGCCTCGTATCAGTATCTAAATATTCATAAATACCAACGGTAAAGTAAAGAATGCACAACTTCAACAATACAAACACTTTGAAACTCGACAGACCTTGACTGAAATGTGAATATTCTGCACAAACTCGAGGCTAACCCTATGTCTATGATCAAGAAACACAGCAGTAATTTGGAATTCGAAACGGGTCTATTCCTTAAAGATTTGAAATATTGATTGGTAAATACAAATTATGAGAAATGTAACTCCTTTTTTGCTTTTGCAAATAGAACTTCCCCAAAATGCTTGAATGAGTGCAAAACAATATTATTCCAAGTCAGACCTTCACTACCATCAATTGATTTGTAGCCACTCTAGCAAATCAAAGGTTTATAAGCTTATATATTTCTGAATTTTAGTATTTGTAGGTATACTGAGTGCCAGGATATTCATACGTTGATTGTGGGGGATAGTTCATCTTTTGTGTTTGGTACCCTTGGTATGACCCCTGTTGCTGTGGTTGTTGTTGCTGTGGTTGTTGTTGCTGTGGTTGTTGTTGCTGCGGTTGTTGTTGCTGTGGTTGTTGTTGCTGCGGCATCTGCTGCTGCTGTTGCTGCTGCTGTTGTAGCTGAGGAGAATATGCCCTAGTATAGCCATCAGTAGGTGGTGGTCCCCCAGGAACGTACCCTTGGCTAGTTTGGAGCTGATTAGAAGGGTAGTTCTGATATCCTATGCTTGTTGGTTGATTTTGAGAGTATGTGCCTGTTGCCATGGAGGAATAGTTCTGCTGGGCGTAGCCTTGGGGTTGAGCAATTACTGAGCTTGATGAAGCATAGGATTGCTGGTCCTGCTGAGAGTAGGATGCCGAGGGTTTTCGTGGGTAGGTGCCTGACATTTGTTGTTGAGATATTGGCTGGGCCGTTGAGGGTTGTGGCTGAGATGTTGCCGGCTTTGGTTGGGATGGATATCCTTGATCATCAGGTTTAGCTCCTAAAAAAATATAATTTGGAATAAAATTAATACAAATTCTAGTTTACTTAATAGAGGGGAACTAAGGACTAAATCTAATTAAGTACCCATTTAATATCATATAGGTATAGTGTTCTAGTTAATTGCTCCAAGACTTGCTTACTAGTAAGTCCATTACCTCTACACTCCTATGGGACAATTGGGTGCCGAATGGTCAAAGGAGATTTTGTTAGAGCACAAAATGGCTAGCTTTGAATTCGTGGTAGAAAATTTGGATTATTCGTTAGTATGAGCTAGAGCTGTTTAGTGGTGGATTTTAACGAGTCTGAGCTTTTGAGAATAATTACGAGACTCTGAGAAAATGCATGATTCCAAGAGTGAGATTTGAGACAATAACAAAAAAATTGAGACTTAACCTGTTATTTCTTGCCTCCAAATGGCACCCCTAATGGTAAAAAATTTCCAAGAGTTTCTCCTAATGAATGCTGTACGTTAGTAGACTCACCTAAATCTGATGTACTGCTGATAGACTGCTGGTCATTGTTTGGTTGTAAGGGGTCAAAAAGGGCTGTGTTTACACTAGGGTAGGTTGGTACTGATGTAGAAGACGGCTGACTTTCATTAGATTTCTGCTGCTTCTGTCTCTGGATGTCATCTGATAAAAACACAAATAACGAAATCAGACAAGGTGTTGGCAGTATTGCACTCTCCTCTCCCCTCTCTTCTCAAGGGTTTCTGGGTTGAATCTTTTAAAAATAAATCCAATTGGATATATCTGAGTTAGCTATGCCCTGATTCAGGTTTCAATCTGTGAGTTAGCCATGCCCTGACTTAGATAGCCATTAAGGTTAGATACTGCTAGATCTTATGTCTGTAACGATGCCCTTGAGCTTTAATAAGTTGAAGTCATATGATACCTGATCTCATTTTCTCTGGTGCTTTTTCTTCTTCTGCTTTCCCACCAGAAGAGCCAGGACTTCCAATCTCTAGTCTGTCTAACAAATAAAGCACTCTGTCCCTCAAATGACTCAGTTCTCTTCTAAACTCCTCAATCATCGTATTCTCTGGGGGTCTTGGGACTCCATTCACTGAAATAGATAATATGAGAGAAAATAACTGGTGAGCTGATCAAGCTGAGACAGATTTATCTAAGATAATAAAACATGAAGAAAAAAGGGCTAAGAGTGACTTGTGCTTAAACCCCACTTTTAGCCAATTTTGACAAAATCTTGGCCCTCAACTTAAGTCCTCAACATAAGGTAATCTATGATATTTTTCCACTATATGGCTGTCGCTTAAGAAAGATCCATTGGAATATTTGGTAATACAGCTTGCAGGAACTACCAAAAGCATGAAAGACTATAGAATCACAAGCCATACTCAAGTTATTGCAGCAGCATAGAGAACGATACATACCAAATAAGGTAATTCTAATTATGCGACTCATCGATTTGGCAACTGCGAGGTCTGAACTGTCAAACATTGTCACCAAGTCACCATCTGTAATAAAATAAAATAAAGTAATAATAATTAATAATATAAACTGTTCCCATAAACATTTACAAAAGGAATGGAATGAATAATAAATATAACGTTCTTCAAAATCTGGAAATATAACTCATTTTATTTCAATTTTATGAACAAAGCACAACTTTAAAATATAAGTTTATATAATTAATGAATTTCATGAATGGCTTCAAAACCAAAAAAAAGATAAGTTTATCATATCAGATGTTTTTATATGAGACATTTGTACGAGTAAGCTTACAAATTAACGTTACATTTAACAAATACATAAACAAAATCTCCATTCCTGACAACATTAATTACATAAACGTCCCCTCTCGGTATGAATACCTTCATCTTTGTACTTAATCGTGACATCGTCAGAACTATTAAGCCTTCCTCTAAAGACTCTCTGCATCATCAGGAGTAGTTCGTCGTAAGTAAGCTCTTCATTGTGGATTGGAATCCTACGAATATCGTCTCCTAACTGAGCTTTTATGATGAGTTTCCCGCTCAAATCCATAGGCTGGGAAGGGAAGAAGCTACTGGAGGTCGTGGTACCTAAACTGAAGTTTTCAGCAGTGTAGTTCATTTTTAAATTAGGCTTTTTTGAGCCAGTATTTCCAGCAAAGGAAAACTGTAAGATTACGATTTACGAAATTTGTTGAAGAATGATATCATTGGTACTCAGGCTTGCTCGTGCACTCATGACGGAAGAGACTGGTAATAAGGATTATTTTCCATTTCCCATTTTCTTTGCCTTTTTGTTCTTTTTGTTTGTTTTAATTAAGTTTTAGTGTTTTGATAAAATATTTTGTCGAATGTAAAATCGTACCTTTTCTTTTGTCTTATGTTTTTATTCATTTGTTTTCTCCAATCACTAGTTATCTTTTTATAGAATTTATATCTTTTTATTTTATTTGTATTTTCTTATTTTTTCGAATTTCTTTCTTGCATTCCTTTCAACATTTTTTTTGTTTCCCCTTTCTTTGTAATTGCATTTTCATTAAAAAAAWTTTTTTTCACTTTTGCTTTTCATATTTATTTTGCTCGTTTTTCTTTTCATTTCTTTGGTATTCTAGTTCCCATTTTGATAATATACATAGGAAGATAAAGCAAGAGGTCATGTAACTTATTCCATTTTTTTTTTTTTTTTTCTGAAAGAGCATCTATATCTAAAAACATCAACAATAATCCAGTTTTGAGTTTTCTTTTGCTGACAGCCCTAGCCTCAGTTATGCGTTAATATATTCAGCTATTCAACCAAGACCCGTGGAATCTTAATMAATTCCTATTGTTCCATAGTACCTAAAGTACTACAGTAAAGGAAAGAACACATTCGTACACAATCAAGACTAATACTGAGCAGAGCGAACTCCAAGTGGGAGTATATGGTTTTTTCCCTGTTAAAAATTTTTCTTTGTCGTTCATTAAGGTAAACCACTTATTAGAAACATCTCATAACTTATATATAAATTATTGTACCAAGTATATATCATAACATATCAAATTCCAGACAATTTTTAAAAGGTTTGCCTTGGTATTCAGTTTTCCACCAAATTTCTATTGGTTTAATGCTTAAATGTAAAACTACGAAAGAACAACTTCTAAGATAAAAATGCCTATATAAAGACAAATATATTTTTTTCCGCATCCTCAACATAATCTAGAACATACCAAAGGAAGGATTTGTGGTTTTTTTGGATCTCACCCCTCCCCTCCTTTTCCCTCCTTCCCTATACAGTCATCTTTAAAAAAAATACTAATGAAACATAGGTTAGGGTCTATATCTATCTGTTGGCTATAAATAAGTTGGCTCATCAGGAATAATAGCTCATTTAGTTATCCCTATGACACCACAAGCCAGACGTCCTCCTGCATTCCCTGTAGTTAGACTTAGTTCATGGCCACCTTTGCCGAGATCATCTACTCCCTCATGCACCTGCAAGAAGATGAAAAAATATTTTCACTGACAGCCAAAAATAACTTATTTGCAGATAGGAACTGAGTTTTGAAGGCATTAAATTAACAGCCAATTGCCTAACAAACCTGCAGCCCTCATCCATGATGAAATTTGAATTTAGGAGTTAATTTTTGCAAAGGGAGGAAAACCAGAACCCCAAGAAAGACCCATGAAGCACAAGAGAGAACCAACAAGCAACTCTGCTCACATACAACATCGAGCCTGGCAGGACTTAAACCCAGGTCGCATTGGTGAGAGATGAGCACTCCCACTGCTACTTTGTCCATGTTTYGCAAGGCATGGTTTTGAGGGGAGGGGTGGGTTCTGAGAATGTTACCACACTTTCTGAGGGAAAATACAGGACTGCAGTGTTGATTAGAAATAAAAAATTCTTCTCTGAAAAAGTTCTCTAAACAGAAACCTGATCATAACTTACCACTAATGATCTCCCGATAACAGAATATTGCCCTGTAAGGCTGACCAGCGGGTCTGTAATGTTAACTACAGCTTTGCCATCACTGTCTGCTTCTATGTTACCTAGATCACCAAGATGTCTGGAATCAAGAAAAATTTAAATAACAAATTATAATAAAAAATTTTTGTTAATAACATCTCCATAGTTTGTGGGTTTAGCAATCTGGGTTTATGAGGTATTGGGCCATGTAATATACAATACAATACAATTTTATTTGGCACCTTATACTAATAGTACATGAGTGTTTGATTCCAAATATATTATAGGTATATATATATATACTATGTATTAGATTATTTTCTTAATTCATTTTCACGTATCAGCATACATTGATGAATGTATGCTGATATGGCTCTTTGTAGAGACGCTGATTTTGAATTGATTAAGAACATAAAACGACTGTCAGCGCTCATATTGTTGAAATTAATGCTGGTGTTTTTTTCTATGAACTCTCTTAAGTCGTNTTTCTTGGATGGTAATCAAAAGCTACTTCCAAATGACAACAGGGGAGAATCCTAAACTTTAGCTATTACAGTCTTGATATTTTAAAAATAATTCCATTTTATTTGCAACCTTTCTTTTAGCTCTTCTGGTGCACCATGAGTCTTTCCAAAAGGGTTGTAATGAGCTCCAGCACTTGTACACCCTAGAAATGAGAAAGCACAGTCCAGTGTAAAGGTAATTCGATGTTAAGAATATAAATAATTAGAATTAAAATTAAAATAATGAAAGTTTTTATCATTATTTATATAAGTGTCTAGCCGTTGTGGCGCTTTAACACTATACTGGGGCACTTTTAAGCTCACACACTTGTCTACCACTACATTTGATGTTTTATGCACACAATGCTCAACTCACTTGTTGATTTTCAATTCAAATGGTAACTTGGATCAAAGGGTAAAGGGGTCGGTACCCTCTTTAGGAATGCCTCGATCAGCTCCTCAAAACCACTAATATAAATAATATTAAAATAATATTTTGAGAAGAAAACTTAAGAATGTTTGAGAAATTTGATTTAATTTGTTGTTAAAATATGCAAAGGCCCAGTGTGACTATATGCAGGGACCAATGCAGCATAGTTTTGAGTGGGGGGGGGGGGGGGGGGGGGGGGGGGGGGGGGGGGGGGGGGGGTGGGCTTATCTGGGGGGTCCTAGATTAGAATGCCCACATCTCCTGGAAATAAGATTTCCAGACTTGCCACAGTTTTGAGGGGCAGTTGCAACATAACTATTGCATTAAAGTGCAAGTCAAACCTTTAGGCAACTCATAATGGAGAGACCAGAAAATCATTTTGGGCTAAAAGCGAGGGGGCTTTACCCCTGCCTTTGCAGTCCCTGTTTTTCTCAAAAGCTTGTACAACTATGGAGTTATGACTAGACATAGCTACTAACCATTTGTGCTGTCTCCAAATTCAWGGATGTGGAATCCATGTTGACCTTCAGTTAGTCCATTTATCTCACCAGTTATTCTACAAGGCCCATCTGGTATCTGTAAAATAATTGAAGTAAAGATACCACAGTTTTCATTACTAGTGTGAGCTGATCAAGTAAGCAGTTGTGACAGGAAAATTGGGCATTAGATTACTGTCAATCAATGAACTGTTTAGTACCGTCTTTACACTCTGATTGACTGTAGTGTACTGCCTGTCCCTGTTTCAATGGGAGGGTAGCAATCAAAACAGTGGTAAAACTCTTTATTATTTGAATTCTACCATTATGATATATAGTAAGAGCTAGATCTTGCAGATCTTAGAGGTGATAATGTGGTTGTCTGGGAAGTCAGGGTATCCTCTTCATACTATAGTATACATTATTACATTTGGCATCTGAGCCCTCCAGAGGCATAGCCAGGGGGGCCAATAGGGCTGGGTCTCCCTATCCTAATGCTGTAGAAAGCTGTTCATCTATGTAGTCATATGACAAGTTCAACTTACCAATGCTCTGAAAATGGGTTTTGTCCCACCACCCCCCAAGGGAAGATCCTGGCAAAGCCCCTGACCCCCACCCTCTCCCCTCACCCCTCACCCCTCTCCACCTTGGTACCGTACACAACTATACCTGACCGCCGTACCGTACCTCTAGGCCTTTACAACCAAACACTTTTATACTTTTGTTGGAGTTCTACATTAATTATATTTTTTAGTTTTTAATCTTAATACTGAAGCTTAAGATTGAAGTTGTTACTTCTTAAAGCCTTATCCAAGCGCGTTATCGGCTTGTAAAGATGTGTTACTAGTAATAACCGAATCAAGTTAATCTTTCAAATACCTTTTTAAACGCGATAAATTTAATCTGTCTTTATCATGCAGCTTTGTCAAAACAACAGTTTAATATATATACGTTTTCAAGTAGTTTTCTTATCTATTGGAAGATAAATAGAGCGATTTACTAGTTTATACCCAAATAAACGCTAAGAGTGACACCAGTTTTAGAAAAGTTTAGGATTTACAGCCAAAATGGTGTCAAGTTGAGCGGCCTTGGAGTTAATCATGGCGGTAATTTTTTTGAAAGTGAAGTTTATTAAAGAGATAAATATATATTTTTTGATCAACATACCTCTTGAATAAAATGAATAGTTCCTTGGACACTTCCAACGAGGCAGCAAACTGCTCTGATCATGTTATTTGAGCATCTAAAGGCGAACTTTTAATACACAACTGAGCATGCAACCATACAAAACTTTGGTTGACAACAGACGCTGGCACCACAGGAAGCCCAACATAAACAACTCCACAGCATTCTTACGTCACAACACAAGCCATTTGCGACAAAATGAAGTCACGTGCTAATATATCATTTTGACAGTCATGTGCTTATTTCCTGCAAATGGGCTATTGTACAGACTCGTACCCAGTCGCTTCTCTTGTCTTATTGATCTCATGCTGTGGTTTATGGGAAGGATTTAGTGAGTTCCCGGCGCAAAAAAAAGCGTGAAACAAATGAYGACTGGGTACAAGTCTGGCTATTGCATACATGAGATGAAAGGGCGACTAAAGGAGTGAAAATGGATTGCTTGAAACCTCTATATTTTATGAAAGTCAGGATATTGCTAATTTACAGATCGCAAATTTGAGTGCTAAGTTTTGCGGAAAGGAGATAGACAGAAAGACAGACAGACAGACAGACAGACGCAGATAATCACTGACAAATGGATGGAAAATTCAACAATAAAAGACACACACTACTCATGTATGGTTCAGATTTTCTTTTATTACTTTAAAACAGAAACCAGTACACCTGAACAAGACATGCTGCCATGGTGACAATGTCGAACACTGTCAGATTCAAATGCATGTAGATTAACTATAACACAATTTACAAATCTGATGTAGATTACTTTCTGTTACTATTTTATTGGGAATAGATCCGGGTAGCTGAATCAGACAGGGCAGATGCCGATGACACCACATGCAAGACGACCACCTGCATGGCCTGTTGTAAGACTGTCATCATGGCCACCTTTGCCAAGATCATCCTCACCCACATGTACCTTCAAACAGAAAAAGATTTTTAATGGTGCATCTATTCTTTAACATACTTTAGGGACCATTCATTATTTCTTGGAAGGGGGAGGGGTGAGTGAGAAAATGGGAGGCCTTGAAATGTTAGTGACTGTGAAAAAGTGGGTCTTGAAATAATTGAAGTGTTATATGTAGGAAACAAAACATCAACAAAATTACATGCTCTTACCACAACAGATCGTCCCACAACAGAGTGCTCCCCAAGGAGAGTGACTTGTTTGTCCATCATGTCAACTTTGGCAACTCCATCTTTTCCAGCAACTATGTTACCCAGATCACCAACATGTCTTTCGGCATCCTCAGGTCCTCCATGATTCTTGTTGAAGGGATTGAAGTGAGATCCAGCACTGGTGCAGCCTTTAGATAGAGGTAATCAAGCAAGAGGGGAATTAGTGTGGAGTAAGCGAGTCAGGAAAGCATAAAATGGTCCTCTCCAAACTCTGTAGTCAATTCGGGCACAATTCCCAGTTGCCTCATGTGAGCTCAGAGTTGGTTGTTTCTTTTTTTGACTACTCTGAAGGTTTTTCCGGTTTTTCTCCCCTCTCTCAAACCAACCCTGACTAATTCAAACTGCTTAAGAGTTATGCTCCAGGGTTATATGAACTGTTTAGCAGCTGAAAGAGGTTCCTCCATTAAGCTYGACCCCATTTATTTGCGCCACTTAAATAACGCCATTCTCTTTTTGTTTAAAACACAGTGAAGGTTTATCAAAAACTAATGAACTTATCTGAGATTGCTTAAGAACCACAGGTACATCGCCAGGGATGGTGTCAGGGTGGCATGAACAGCCCCCCTCCCTCTTTAATTTCAACAGTACTTCAACCATCAAATGGCAAATAGGAACCCCCCCTGACAAGAACCCTGGTGACAAGCCTTGCCATAAGCCAGCCAGCTGTATGATCAAACCAAACTTTATGACTAAGGTGTATACGCCTATTTAAAAAACATTGTCGGTCAGAGATATGATATCTGAAATCTGAGACTGAGTAGCTGGTAGACTGTGATTTGTAATATTTTCACAACCAACAAAGACAGTTTCCTATAAGATTGGAATATGAAGCATGAACCTCGAGTTAGAAATGTGATTTTTCCTATTTTAGCTAGAAAGCATAAAAGCACAAATATTTCATTTAGTCTCAGATTGCCTATTTCAGATCTCGGACTGATGCTTTTTGAAATAGGTGTATACCAAGAATAACCTACCATTGGTATTGTCTCCATACTGGTGGATATGGAAGCCATGCTTTCCTTCAGTGAGACCTGTGACTTCTCCTGAGACATGGCAAGGTTTGCCATCTCCCTAATAAAATGTAGTTTTTAGTATTAAATCTAAAGTGAATTGGCAAGGAAGAGTCCCCATTGGTCTTTGCTGCATTCTAGTTTGGCTTGGGTGCAAAATACACCATAAGGCACACATGCACAAGAGTAGTTAGTACCAAAGCTAGACAACAATGCACCACATTTGGAAGGTAAGTGACTATTGGACAAAAGAACTTCCCAGAAGTTTATATCCAAGCTATAACACAATGCACCATGTTTGGAAGGTGTGATGGAGGTGTGACTGTCAGTCAAAACCTTTCAGGAGTTTATACCCGAGCTGGACAACAATAGATCATGTTTGGAAGGTGTGTGAGGGGGCGTGACAGTCAACTTTTTAAACATGAGAAAACCAGGTCAAACCATCACTTCTGTTTTAAAACATGAAATTGAATATCAAAGAAAAACCTGGGGGGAGAGGGTTAAGTTTTTATACCAATCTTCTAGGTGTGTGATACAGGTGAGTATGTACTTCGACACTTATAAATAATATCAGTAGAAATTGAATGGTATCGACGATTACGTAATTCTTTGGCCTATTTGCACTTCAAATTATCCTCTTTCCATCATTTAGAAACTTCTCCGTCGATAGAACAAAAATCTTTCAACAACTCACACCTACCGACAATTATAAAAATGTACAATATTGAGTACGTATTGAGCTTAATTATCACGCGACGTCGAACATGTGCAAACGTTCTATTTTAATATTCAGTCTTCATCTACGAAATCTCAGCAACGATATGCTCAGTTTAATAATTTTGAAGTTTGATTGAAGTATAAACCAACTTTAGAACGAAAGAACACGATAAATCCAGTATAAAATGTCTCTGAATTAAGTCTAAACGTCACGTTGGAACGCCTTTTGTTTTGCCAAATTCTCTTACATAAATTTGCTAATTTTCGTCATTTTTTCAAGCAGATTTTACCTCCTGAGTGAAGTGGATGGTTCCTTTAACCTCTCCTATCAAGCAGCATACGGCTTTGACAACCATTTTCAGCAAAAATGTCTGGAAGGTAATATTCTAGATCACTGCACTGAAAGCAAGTTTGAAACTCCAAGGGCCAACTGAGGGGAAAGTACGTCATGGGTTGTGTTATAAGCTGTGTGTCGCAATTACCATATACACCAATTTCACTAACAGTCATCCATCAATTCCAGTTGCTGTATCTAAATTTTTACTGTATTTCCTTTATTCCAATACTTCCATCTAAAAATATCTTTTTCGTGATCTCGTTACTGTTCTAAGCACATTCATCTTTGAAAAACATGGATGAAAGAAGCCTTGCTTATTATGAAATACATTGCTTGCTGTCGCGTAGTGTCTTCTACTATAGTCGTCAACTCTGTAACGTTAGCCGTTAGCTCCAACGCGTTAAACAAGGTGATTAAGAAAAATAGTTTAAGTGCGTTACTAAGATTCCGTAGCTCACTGAATTAATAGCTATCAGTATATTTACATCAAACTACGACCATGAAAACTTGGATTTTTATTACCTCTATAAAATACCGTAACAAATTAGACAGACAGACAGTTATTTAGACAGACAGACTATAACAGCCAGAGGCACGCAGGCGTTGGGCAAGCAGGACGGCAGGCGGGGAGAGAAAGGCAAGAGTGAGGCAGGCTGATAAACAGACAGACATACATATAATCAATATACTTTTCTTTACTATATTGGGTGTGTGCTTCTTTTATAGTGTATGTAGGATAGTCCCATCTTCTCTCCTGAGTGCAGCACTTGTTTCTCTGCTCTGCTAATGATACTTCTCACAGACTCCTGTTGGGCTGAACTCTGCGTGTCTTTCTCCTTCTTAGAGAATTTCTCTGCTAGTTTCAGGTACTCCTTAGCGAGGCTCAGTTTCTTTCTAGCATTATTCAGCCTCCATTTCAGTTTTTCAGCGGGCGACGAGAATTTGGGCTCACTTTTGTTCGGACCTGTAGCTTCCGGTTGCACTTTGGTCTCTGGCTTCTCTTCATCAAGGTTATGCACAGTTTGAAGTAAGCTTTTTAAATTTTGCTCGGTTTTGCTACCTATTAAAAACATAAGAAGTTATATTCTTGGGGTGCAACCACATGACTCAAAATCCCTCGAGATATAAATAATGAGGAAACAGCCGCCATGTTGGTTGATCTATGAGGCTTTGTTATCGTCAACCAACATGGCGACTATGACGTAAGATGTAAACCATGACGTTACATGTACCCCCAAAGCAGGGCTTTGATTTTAAGACCCGCCCAGATAGGCAGATCTTAGTCTCCTTTGCATCTGGTCTTAGTGTAGTGACGTGACACTCTACGGATGCATCTTACAGTAGTCTGAGTCAGCAGGTTTGTGATTGATGGAAACGTTTAAAGCTTGTGGAGCGCACACAATCTCTTTCCCAAAGCCGTGAAATTAAAAACTAAGAACTCTGGGAACGAAGTTGGAGCGCGCAGAAACATCGAAAACACATAAACTAAGTGCAGTTTTTTGAAACCCATGTGACCGCTGTCTGGGTCACCGCTCACGYGGGCTCACATGGTTCGTCACATACCGGAGGTCACCACTTCCAAAAGATTTTTTTTTAAATGCGTTAAAATCAATTCCAATCTATTTCTCAATTGTCTTTTACTTAATTAGATCATCCATTATGTAATTTCATTCCATGTTTTGACAAAAAGACGTTTTAAAGACAAACGATAATTTATTCGCCATCCATGATCCCAACTCGAACTAGAACTACGAACTACAAAATGAGGAGTTTATCGATATAATTTAGCAATAAATGTAATTTTTTTTGATATGTTAAATTTCTAAATCTGAAGTCATTTTGACTGAGTACTGTGGCAAAAATGAACTAAATTTTCATAAGAATTTTTACTGGACAGCCTGATAACGTACCACCCGTCTTACCGAAGACTGGTTTCCAGTGACAAAAGTCATTTTAGCCAAAAAAAAAAAAATTTTAGCAAAATTAAACAGTAAAATTTACCTTTTGGTAAAGCAGTCGCCAAGGAGAAGATAAACAACATTAGCACAATCATTTTAATGAACTACGTTTTCCTTCATATGACTTCTGTTATTTTTGTGAGTTGTCAGAACCAGTTTCTCTATCTTGACAGGACACTTGTCCTAGCATGGTCTGTCCGTACAAATGGCACATCTATCAAAACAACAAAGTGACATCATCGTGTTGAAAACCTTTAAAGACGTTTGGTATTTTTGATGATTTCCTGTGAAAATTTAATTCTAATTGGAAGTGACAGCTAGAGCAGGTGGCACTGCTGGATCTACTGAAAACCAAACCATGTCAGTTCAAGGTATTCAATGTGATCGAGTTTTCAACGTCAATTCAACGACGTCGAAAATGACGCTTTAAAACTATGAAAAAGCTTGAAATTTGTCCTTGATATATCTTTGAAGAGAAACTAATTGAAAGTGTTTTTTTAATAGTGAGGATTAATATTCAGACCCTAAAATTGAAGCAAGAGAACCATCCACCATATGCCGCAAGAGCCAGAAGGGATAAAAAAAAAATCAATAGATTCCTATGAAACCTCAATGTAGTCATTACAGAGGCTTAAAGGACAAATTAACGATAAAATTATAAACTTTAATTTATTCCTATCATTTATTTATTCTGGTCTCTTCTGCATAGAATCCATTGAAGTGTAAAAATGTATAGTGTCCACGTGGTCGAAATTTTCCTCTCTAGGTATATGCCTTATGGGTTTCAACCCGAATGATACTGCAAAACACAGAACATCAATTAAAACCCAATAAATTTATTACTGATCTTTTGAATAATCAGGAGAATCCCGTATTAATTTTGTTTGAACTAGTAGCCCCTCTGCTGAAGTTGAAGTTCAGCATATCAGTTAGTAATGATTTTTTCCGAGCCCATACGGTTCGAAAAGTTCATAGAGAGAAAAGAGGGAAAATATAATGAAATGCCCCAATAAAAGCAAACAAGTCCACGGAGACAAATGACCAAATGACGAAAAATGTCAGTTAAAAAAAGGAGAAGACTAGAGCTTTCTGAAGGAAGGATGAGACTAAAAAATATATATAATCTTATAACTCAGTCTTTTTATATTGCAAACAAAATGGGAATGAACTTTGAAACTGATAAAATTCAAGAAAGTTAGTCTAAAAATAGACTAAAAAGGTGCAAGCTTTTTCAGCATGATTACGGGACGCACATAAAAACCGCATTCCTAATCCGAAGCCAAATACTCGAGTAGTTCTGTTTCGTTGAGACGCCTTGACCGGCTTTTTAACTAACGAAAAGAGAAGAATCCTGCTAATAGCAATAGTATTGCTTCTTCAACAGGAATATGGGCAAACACTAAAATATCCGATCATGGAAGTAAAGAAAAAAATGCGGAAAAAATATAAAGATACTGATGATTTGCTTTGAAAAATTAATTTATATTTATTCTTTAAGATTTTTACTAAAGATTAAACATATTTCATACATAAAAGATATAATGTATGAAGTATTTTAAGATGTAAATGAGATGAGATTTTTTTTCTTCGCAGGTGACAGAACTGGAAATGAACTTCGCGCCCGCCATCTTGTGACGTCAAGGCCGCCAATTTGGTCATGCGCGGTAAGCGCGCTCGTCGTTCCCGATGGAAAATTGGTGGTGACTCTCTTCACATCACTGAATCGTGCTTATATACCTTACTTTTCTCGCCATTTTCTCTCATATATTCACTCTATGACTCCAAAAACACAATGAAGAGGAGAACTATTGATCCTTCGAAGCTTAGGAGACCACCGCTTAAGCGTTCTCGGATAACTGAATCTATCTATGGAAGGTCAGACAAGAGTACTGTGTTTTCGATCTCGTTTGTCTGGCTGGCAGTGTTGATTTATAAGAATTATTATCAACGACGTTGTGCTTTTATATCCCACCATGTAAAGTAATAATTGATGTTCTGTGTTTTGCAGTGTATTTTTATATATAAGGTTCTTCCTGGTTTGGATTCTGGTGCTGACTGCGGACTTTCTTCTGGAGTTTCGGTTCGAATATTTGTGGCCATTCTGGTTGCTTTTGCGAAGTGCTTATGATTCATTCAAATATCAAGGCCTAGTAAGTAGACCTCGATAATACTTCCCTGTCTAGCCAAAAACACTACGCCATTCCACTCATTTGATAGTTTAATACGGTATCCTATATTTGTGGTTTTAAGCGACTGCCTTGCCAAGCTAACCATGTTCTTTCACGATTTTTTTCGACAGGCTTTTTCCTTACTCTTCCTTACACTAGCGTTCTGTTCTGATATGATTTGTTTAGTACTTCTACCCGTTCACTGGCTATTTTTTGCCGCTAGTACTTATGTCTGGGTCCAGTTTGTATGGCATACAGGTAAAAGGCACCTAGATGTTTATAAAATTGCAAAGAAAAACTTTTACTTCCCCCAAGCATAGGCTCAATTATTTCCATTTACAGAGTCTGTTTACGCTTCCTTCTACAAACATGGCTGACCATTTAGACAACTGCTCAACCTCTATATGACCTTTTACTTTAATCATCCCACCAGTTCCCGCTGCTAGTCCCCCTTCTAAACTTAGTATCTTCTTTTTTTATTGGGCAGATCGAGGGCTTTGTCTTCCAACAGTCAGTTTATGGCTAATTTTCGTTTATGTGGAAGCTTCAGTCAGACTTCGAGAACTGAAAAGTCTGCCGTTTCATTTAGATCTTTGTCGGCCTTTTGCAGCTCACTGGTAAGTTCAATAAACATCCATTAAAAATAAAATACTAAGTAATAATTCTTTATATCGTTTTAGATTATTGCTAACGAGGTTTGGAGTGTTTTGGTTTCCACCAATCTCGTGGTTTTTTTTTTAACTGGAAAATGTACAATCTATGATTCGAATTTGCATAAATTCGATTCCATCTCGATTATTATATTGATCACTATGTTTTTCCCAATCAATCAGTCCTCCTCTTAACCGGATAGCAATTTTAAATTTTTAAAATTAGAATTACTTTTTAAAATGGAGTTTCCATCATATATTACAAGAGTTWAAAAATATCTTTGAGATTTTTGGAAGATTTTATGGGTTGATGTTTTGGAAAATCTCCATTTTTTTGAACAATGGGTTTTTTTCCTTCCTCTTGTTATGCTTCCGTACTCACTGTGAATGAAAAACGAACTACTCTTTTTTCTTTTAACCATATGTTTTCCATTTTACTATTCAGTTAACCTCAACAATTAATAACCAAATGGTCATTTAACTTTATAATTTAAATCATACTAATTTTTTAGAAAAATTTCAGTGAAAATCTAACAATTTCTTATGTCAAACAAAATTGAATATGCACACATTATTCTTATGATAAATGCTTTCAAAAAATTTGCATATTAAAAAAACCTATTATGAAGATCTTTTTCTATTTTTCTCCATGTCTGGGATCTTCAATCACATTTACTACAATAATATATGAATATAAGCTTTTATTTTATTGTTGGTTCAGTCTGTTGCTTCATGATGAAGTATTGCACCTGYGTTGAACCCTGAGTAAATAATGCCATACTTCATGATGATGAGGACAAAAATAATGACTACAATATTCACATTCGATTATTTTAGTTTTAAGAGTTCATGTGTTGTGATAGAAGCGATTACCTGGTCGATTCTATAACGTTTATGCAATATGAACATAAAAAGGTGTGTAGATATCTTGATTATTGTTTGGCTACTATCGACAGCTGGCGAAATTTAAACTGTATTCAAGTTCTACGTATATTATCCGGATTAATAGGTTTTGATTTTAACTGAAATCCCATCAAAATTATTATTATTATCGAAAAACTAGTAAGCCATATTATCTTTTTTTTCTAATCACTCAAATGACCAAATCCAATTTTGCATAATGTTTTGCCCATTTCAGACCACATGTCACTCTCTTAAGAATAAGATTTGTTTTTTGAGTTGTATCCATATTTATGTGTCTTCTCATGTGCAGCCATTAAACAAAGACGTAATACTCAGGGGAATGACATGTGGTCTGAAATGGGAAAACAGTTGATTACGTATTATTCTAAAGTGGATTTTATCGTTCAGGGAGAAATGGATGGATATTGGAAAATGCAAGTGGTCTGATTTTGTTCGTCACTGAAACTTGAATTTTCCTGTACCTCTTGAAAACTTCGAATTTCAAAATACTTTTTTTTTCTTTACAAAACAGAAGTTGATGGAAGTATAATATATACATAAATAATGCTTTTGATACAGTTTGATTTAAAAACTCTCTTAAATAATACCCCAAAATTTCCTGCAATATCCTAGAATTTCAATATCAAAAGTTTTATTTCCTTTGTCGATAATTGGAATTGTGGTAGTTTTTCTAGGAAGCATTTGTATGGTAGCGCTACTTAGGTTTGATTCCCATAATTAGTGTCTAGTATATGCATATTTGTTTGTTGCATCTCTCCTGTACTTTTAGGACTTCCCTACTCTCACAAAATATCGGCAGTTAAATTTCCAATGCCAATTAGATTCATGTAAGCTAGAGCCACTATTTGGGAATGCTAACTGATAAATCTAAATTTGATTTTTTCTTTAAGTATTGAAGACATTTCTTAATTCTTAATGATCTCTTATTGTATCTGTTGTTAGAACACAGCTATTTTAAAAAAAGTTGGTCTTCGTTGCATGCAGCATGTTGCATATCAACCCTGAATTGCACCATGGGTTATGTGAATACCATCAGTGAAAAGTCTCAGTGATATAAATTTTGTGCACATTTTTACGGTATATTTACTTTTTTGCTGACATAATTTACATATGAATATGATACATTTCAAGCTTAGTAAGCCGCAGCATGCAACATGCAGCAAAACCTTTTCCAACCTTTATAGAAATAGCTGTATATCTTTCAAACTATGAAGATTGGGGTAGCATGGGTGGTGTTCACGGTTAACGCATCGTCTTTCACTGCTGTGAGTTCAACGGGTCGGGTCGCTGGTTCGAGCTCTGCGGTCGCCACATGTGAATTGAGTTTGTTTGATATGTTGTTCTCTCCTATGCTTCAAGGGTTTTCTTCGGGTTCTCCGGTTTCCTCCCTCCGTAAAAATCAACATGTAAGTTGAGCGTTGTGTGCATAGAACATTAAATGTAGTGGTAGTGCGTGTGAGTGAAAAGTGTCCCCAATTAGTGAGAAAGCGCTAGAACGAATAGACACTTAAATAAAAGTGATTTCTTTATTTTATTTTATTACYGGTACTTGTATATAAATTCAAAACCAATCTTGTCATAACCTACCATTAACATATAAAGCTTAAGCTAAGACAATTTTTAATAGTGCAGGGCAACCGTGACGTCATAAAAACAAAGACAAGGGCGAAATTTGGACAAACAAACTTACAAGTTTACTTTCAGCAGATAATTTTCACAGGTGATCGCAGTTGATCTTAGTTTACATGGGTTATTATTGTAACTTTAAGTAAAAATAATAAAATCGGTTCGTATAATCCTTGTAGCGGTTAAACAGAATGCAATATTTGTCTGAATCTATAAGCTGTTTTTAGAATCAGTGCGCTGCRCTATTTGCTATAATTTTGTGCGATTCATAACCATTTTTTGCGATTCATAAACATTCCTTGAAGATGGTCGCTTTGCTACAAAAGCTTGGACAATAAAATCATCTATCTATAAAATTTATATTATTTAATAATTTAAGAAATGCTTAGCGTACTTCAAATATCCCACGTCAGAGGCATGCTTTGCTTGTCACAGAGGTTCAATGTTTCAATTTGCATAATGCTCAATGAGTTTTGGAGAAAAGTATAAATGTAATTTAACATGTAGCCTCATACTAGAACCTTAGCTAATGACAAGTGAATCATATTTCAGAAGTGGGCTATTGTCCCAGAAGGTCACCAAAACAAAAACAAATAATTGTGCTTCAAAGAACTTTTGCCTTATCTGAACCAAATTTAAACTACTTGCATTTGCACCTGTCAGGAAAGCCTGGCAGTATATCTGAATATTTTTGATTTTTATAGATGATTTTACATCAATATTAACAATTATATCATTAAAACACATTGTTATTTACCTCTTTGATACTGGTATTAAATCCACAAGCGTTCTGACATTCATTATATTCTCCAAAAATCATTACTGTCTGAAATGTAAATAATTTGTTCATTTCCTCTCGGAATTTAATAACAGTCAGCTAGAACTCAGGGTTTTCATTAAGTCTTAAAATAAAAAAATAAGATCATGGAGCATAAGAGACTCCTGCGGACCAAGTGATATGTGTATATATATTTTAAACAACCTTATTGGCCTTCAGAATTTTTCAACAATAGCAAACAAACTAAAGAAAAAAAAGGAAAAAGCAAAACAAAAACAAAAAAAAAAAAACAAAAAAAATATATATATATATAAATAATACAAGTTAGAAAAATAATATGAATAATACAAGTAAGAAAGGCCAAGAGATGAAAGTATCAGGTGCTGATTTAATACCTCCATGCATCCAATGAAATTGATAAGTTCTAGTTGAGTGATATTTACTTTTTGTCAATATAAAAAAACAATCAATGATACTTTTCTGGTTTTGTTGCATGGGTATAATGGCGTTGCTCAGTATATAGAGCAGTGGAATTGCTGGAAACTAATTCTATACTGTAAATATGTCTGTAGTCACTAGGAGATTTAAAAGAAAATACAGACTAATGAATCTATAAAATTCAATTGTGAACACTAAAAGATGATCGATATTAATACTACTTATTCACAGTTTTAAGACACTTAGAATACCCAAAGCCTATAATGTCAAAAATGATCCATCCAGCCTATGATTTCCTAAGGATTTTGTCAGCTTTCACACTTTTGATTTATATCAGTGCTTAATATTTTATGGCTGATTGATTATTGACAGTATTGTCACACGTTCATACACTTGTGCATTTTGTTTCACCAAAAACACATAATGTTTGTTAATTTGAGCGAAATTACATATAGTTATAGCAATTTTTAGATATTTTCATTACAGAAAAAAGAAACCAATAGTATTGGGACTAATATTTAACTTTTTTCCTTTAAAGAATAAAGGCTAGGAAATGATAGTATTTTTTTTACAGCTTTATTGGGTAATAAACTATAAGCTATAACTAAGGTACGTGTATACATAATTAGAAAAATAAATGTGAAAGACTACTCAATAGGGACAGTGCAAATGGAACTCTAAGTCCCATGCTAGGCAGTTCCCTTGAGGACGCACATTAGGTAAAATAAATTAAGATAAGTAAATGTAAATATGCTATTATCTGTAACAAGGACACTTGCTGACTAGTGACCACTAACCATAGGGTTATTGTCACTTTTTCATGCAGAAAAAAAATCTGTAGTATGGGCACTCGAATCTTTTTCCTTCATAGACTTATGGCTAGCAAATGATATTTTTCACTACCATACAATATTGCAGATATTGTTTTACAGAAAAGGGCAAATATATATTGTTACAAAAAGAGTTACTACCAAAATTTTTGGTAGTCAATATGACTATTAAATCAGCAAAATTGGTTAATAGTAACTGGAAGTGTATGCGCGAGATCACCTGGACATCTATTTCCAAGAGATGTAAAAACGCAATAAAAATTGCCGTTGTATTTTATCATGTATACTCAATTGCAAAATCATAATCTTCAAAACATATAACATAGAAGCTGAGACAAAATGATAAATGGGAAATACGTTAATGCGATACACTCAATGTCATTAACGTTGTCCACTGAAAAAAGACATTAAGACATTTACACCTTTACCAATACGAGATTTTCATCTAATAATAATTTCTATAAAAAAAACGAGTAAGAACAAATTATGGTAAATTTACATTTAATTTTAGTATTTCTACAATCTGGGAAACAATACCCAAATCAATTAAAAGTCTTCCTTATTCATCCTTCAAACAGACATATAAGGAATTCTTACTCAATAATCAATAACAATTATATCATTATACATATATATTTATATATAATTATTTGATTTATCTCCTTTTTTGCTATAGTGGAAATTTATACTGTTGAATTTAATATTATAGTATTATCATAATATTATAGCCTTGTATTTTTTTTTTTTTTTTTTTTTTTTTTTTTTTTTTCTTCTTCTTTTTCTTCCTTTTTTTTTCTTTTTTGATCCTAA